AAGAATAATCCCAGCAGTAATTTGCAAAGAAAATTCGTGTGCTTTTTGAAGACGTTCTATAATGCCTGCTTGCGGCTCGTAGGCGACCTGCAAAACTCGCACAACCGTTTGGTCAGGCAGAGTTAAAAAACACAGGTAGGTGCCTGCCATTATGCGGGCGCAGTAACCTTTACTTACCCACTTTCCTGCCACCACCTTAAGCTCTCATACAATTAAATATTGGCGATATATGACGAGTGCTCGTCTTACAAGCCGAGTTTGACTCGTTTCCAAAGGGCTGCCAGAGGATTTTACACCGGATTTTGCCAAAACTGTGGCATGCGGTAGAAGAAAGCGTCACTGAGACGTGGCTAATGCACTATTATTTTGACATCGACCGTTTAGGGTGATCATCCATTTTAAGTAATAAGAACTAATTACAAATCGTGATCAAAAGTAATGATGGGAAATAAAGCGGTAAAACCAGTGGTAAGATAGTTTTACCATGGTGAGTGATGAAGTAATTGAGATGAAAAAGCTACGGCAGAAGTTAAGCGCATGTACTAAGAAAAGGTAGCACTACTGAAATGCTACTCATAAGGCCCGCTAAGACAACTGATTCTTGAATAAAAAATCGCTATGTGGAAGAGCATATTGGATCCTTAACAAATTGGCCAGGACAATCAGAACTGGTCAGTCAGTTAACACAACGCATTTCATAACATCACACATATATGTTATGTGTGAGGATTTCTCAAACCGTACTAATAGGATGGAATGAGAGGTGATAACTCACTTTCACATGGTGAAATACGATACCCGGGACAGACAGCAAATAATTTGTTCAAAGTTAGAATACAGAAATTAAAATGACTAGGGCAAAATATCTTAACTTCTGTGAATGACCCAATCACTTGAACTACATAAAGTGGACAAATTTGTAGACGAAAGTGAAGCGTAGTAGACGGAAGTGGGAAATGCATGGCAGCAAAAAAGTACAAATAACAAGGTCAAACAATGAGCATAAGTTTATGAGATGAGCACCTTGAGAAGCCAAACAATTCATGTTATGGTCGCGATTTTCGTAAAAGCAGAACCGTAATTGCAAAACTTACAATCGAATTGGCACTACCCGAAAAACGTGGCAACGGGAATTCCTGGTTTATGCATAGCGAACCAGAGGTGAAGCTCCAATCGAAGTGATAGATTTGGACACTCCAACATGGAAAATACTAAACAAAACTATCTATCAGCTGTCTATTTCTAAGATAATGGAAGGATTGACGTTGTCAACCGGCCATTTTGAGCACTCCAGTCATTTCGCTACCACTTTATACAGAATTCTGCCCGCTTTCCCACAAAGGGCATCGCATAAGTAGTTGGCATAACAACGATTCAATAAGAAAACGAGTGCTCAAAACGCTGGAATGAGTCACCTTCAAAGTTTAAAAAACAATTTTGAGACGGATTGATACACTTCAGTTAGGCCGAGGTAAATTTTTTGCAGGAAGAGGACCAATTGTCAAGATCTTAGAGCATAGAGCTGGATGAAGCGGAGCAAAATATGAGCCTACCTTATCCCAGTTGATACTATCCTCGTAGGTAAGGTAATGAAAAACGTTGGTGGCCTTCACCGCTTCTGGACCGCGTTGCTTGTAGCCGAAGATCAAATCGATCCAATGGTGAAGCTGACATGACACAAGCTCCGACTCCAGCGCCTAAGGGAGAGAGATGACAAAGGCGATTAAAGCGATCTTAGAATGATGTGTGCTATCAACCTTTACCATACAATTGCATAATAAAAAAAGTGGATGATGCTAGCGTCACGACCACGGAATATGAAATGAAGCTCAACGTAATAATTGCTTTGTAGGCCAATGAAGGATTTTCATCCACCACCTCATTCCCACGTCTCTATGGTCACCGTACTACTAAGGACGTGAAGTCCTATTTAAGTTACCAACGCCCACGCTGTTTCAAAAAACGTTCCTGAAGCAATAAGAAAAATGGAATATTTTAAACACCAGGGTGATAGTCTGAGCGACTGGAAGCTTTGCAAACTGTACAGTAAAGACAATTCTGTTTACAACAACAAATAACAAGCTTCTGCGTTAGACCGGATAAAGGTGGGACCAATTGCCCTACGGAATGGGAATGAATTACCATAGATTATGCTGCTTGAAAGGAAAGTTGGTCGCTAAGTTTTTTGCGCCTTTTCCCAAATGGCAAAACCCAAAAGTGCTTCCTGACTGAGACGTTGAAAAGTGAGACTCATTATCGCGGGCGGAGTACGCAATGACGTTGGGAGGCAATGTAAACCCCAGTGAACAGTCAATAAGGGGCACAGATTGAAGTGATGGAAAAAGAAGCAAAGAATGAGACCACTAGGAGTTGAGAAGTTGTATTTCGTCAAAAAAAGTGCTAGATTGGTCAAACTTCGAAACAATTAAGTTTATAGTTGTAGGAAAAAAATGACTATCAACGTGATAAAGGAGAGGGGGGAAGGGAGGAAGTGAATTTGCTGCTAGCGTGTAATGATTCAGGCATTCACTGGTAGAGATCATAAAAGGGCAGTTCAAAGGGATTAATGAAATGTAGTGTTGAAGAAAGGAAGAACACGGGAATAAGATTAGAGAAGGAAGAAAATTGAAAACGTTACTAGGCACGAAATACTAAACATGCAAGGAAGGAAGG